CAGCTCCAAAGGAAATCAGTAACTTAGCAGGGTACCAAAAAAATGCCTGGATTCTACAAGTCTTGTGCTGTTGATTAAAACAGTGAGTCAGCAAGCAGCATTTCCAACATCCTGATGTAGATCTGTGGAAACTGTGACACAAGTATTAAAGTTTTCCATTGACACTGGAAACCCATTTCCTAAAGGCAAGTAATAATTACTGAGTGGTAGCACTCTTGAAAACTCAACTGAGGCAAATTCACATTGATAGTAAAGATGTGCAAAAAATACAAACCATTATGTGTAAGTTTGTTACCAGCATTTCCTTCTGAATTGTTAGCTCTGATTTTGGACTTCTGACATTCTCAGCATCTGTGTGAAATACTGCTTAGAGCTAGCTTGATTTCACAGCAGTTGAGAAAAATGAAATTTCAGACATTTTGCATCCAAAAAAAAACCCCCAGAAAAAAGAAAACCTATAAAACAGGTATTTATTTAAATACCTGATGTAGATGTGCCTTGTGGTTTGCACAATCTCTCACTTTCTAAATTAATTTTTAATCAAGTTTACACAGTTTAGTACTTAATTATTCATTCTGAAGCAACAAAGGAAATATGAAATCCTACAATGAAAACCACAGTCATATTATTATTTTATTAGTTATACAGCAGCAAGAGTTCTAGGCACTCTACACATGAATAAAACAGAAGGTCCTAAAGAAAGGACCAAAATCCTACATAAAACCCAAACTGACAACCACATACATTTAACATAGCAGTAGGAGAAAGTGAAAAGAGACTTATGCTCTCAAAATGGGTGAAAACTAGTTATTTTAGATCTTGTCTGAAGCTCTTAATCTAGGTTGTCCTAGCAATTACATGAAAGTTTAAATAAGTGTCCAGTTATTTTTTCAGAATTATGAGTTTGAGCCATCCAAATTCCATTAACACCCAAGTAGAGTTTAGCTTGAATGACGTATGAGAGATTCTAGGAGGTAAACCCAAGTATGTGGTGGTTTTGCCAAACATACTGGCATTGCGTGGAGGAAAAGATGGGAAAAAGGATGACTGTTCAGAATTCAAGGGCACAGGGTAAGGCACAGCCCTGCTGCAAGAGAGTCAGTAACCCTGTAGCCTCTGCACAACACCTCCTCACGTGCATGGCATGCTAACTGCATGGCACAGGCTTTTAGGGAGCCCCTGTAGCAGCAGCACAGCGTCCCATCTAGTTTTTAAGAGAATTTGACTTAGGTAAGCACTTCTCCGGTTTTGCTCCCTACTAGCACACACTAGTCTGCTAAAGGCAGTAGGAAAACTGCATAAAATTAACATTTGGAAGACCCAGGGTTTGACAGACAGAATTGCAAAAGTGGAGGAAGGTGGCTGGGCACTTTCATGGTCAGAGGATTAACTCCACTCAAAATTGAGACTTTACACCTTTCTAGTCTACCTTGAATCACACCAGCCCCTTTCCCTTCTAAAGGAAAGATACCTTTACAATCTGCATTTCACATCAAATGCCTGATCTTCACACAATCTGGGAGGACCAGTGTGAGACATTTCAGAGGCTTCAATGATGTTGGGAGACCCAGGGAAGAGGAACGTGCTGACAAATCACACGCTGCAGTCAACAGACCCAGGGACTTCATAAAGTAACCAGGACAACTGTGCTGCACTTCACAGATGATGACATTAGGTTAGATGACAGCACATCTGACCATTTCTCTACCAAAAAGGAAAGCGCAACAGTGCCAAGAAATTGTTTTCCCTTTGAGATTAATTTCTCCGCACACTACTGCCCACAGATTATTACAGGATGGATTTAGCAGAGAGGCATTGATGAACTATTTTCTAAATGGCAAAACAATGCTCAACAGTGCAAGTTTAGTTATCAGATTCCCTAAGTCCCACTCTCGGTTATTAATTCATGCATATAAAAGTGGCTCTACTTAACTATGTTTCTAAACTTTTGTGTGTGTGTGTGTGTGTGTCACAGTGAAAATACAATAATTTCTAGGAGATAAAACTAAAAGCCTTTATTCTTTACTGAATCAAAATCACTTTGACATCAATGGATGTTTCCTTTGTTAACAGAAGAGAAGGAATGTTGGAACTGTCTTTTCTTACTGCTTTACAAAACTTGCTACATGACAGCCTAATAACAGTCTCCTGAAGAAGAAAAGAGCACCTCACAAGAACAGTGCTACATCTGAGTACTAATGCTTCAGGGAACAAGCAGCTTACTTAGTTCAGTGTGTATATATACAAATCTGTATAATTTTTCCTAGATTACCTATTTTTATATAAATAAGGAAAACCTTTAACATGGGACATACAAGGTTTCCTTTATCTTGCTCTAGAACACAAACAGGTAGGTTCTCACAAACTTCCATTTTTGCTAGAACAAGGTAGAATTTATTTTCTTGACTACTATAGGCAATGAATAAACTGATACACTGAGCCATGAGACTTAAGGCTTGTCAACAGTTTTCATCTGAATGCAATTATTATCAAACATAAATCTACCCATATTCTTCTATAATTCAGCTATAGCATTTGTTCCAACCAGCTTCTAGAGGAATGACTGAGTCCAATCTCTATGTTTCATAGCAGTAATTTCTTAAAAGTTATTATCAGGTTACTATGATTAAGCAATTGAAATTGTAAGTCAGATTCTGCCCATAGCACATATAGGCAAATACCCATCAATATACATAATTCAAAAATAATTACTCTTTTTTTTTCAAACATATAATGTTGTGTATTTATTCATTGCCAAGACAACAGAGCTGTATCTCTCTAGAACAGAATGAGCTTTGCAGAATGCTTTGCCTTTCTGTGTCCTTTTCACATAATATTTAGGACCTTATGAATGGTTTTAAACAGTTGATTCCTAAAATAGCAAAATGGCATCACGGAATGCTGGGTTGGCATTCTTACAAAATGGAAAAAAAAGTCTAGTATTTGCATTTCCTCCAAAAGTAACACTCACTGCATAACCTATGCATTTTAGAGCGTATACTTTTAAGATATGGATGCCAGTATGTAGGTTTTGACAAGCAAGGAAAATAGGATCAAAATATTAGTGCAACTAACCAGTGACTAGAAAATCTTTGCTTTTGTATTTCTAATTTGTCCATATTAAAAACTTTTAACAAGTTCAGCTTCCTCAATCAAAGGGAAAAACAAGAAAAATATTCTGAGCAATGTAGCCTGTACTTCTCACATCTTGCCACAAGAAGAGCTACACTTTGTCTCTGATAAAATCTTCTAGTTGAAGCTGAAAAAGATATTACTGATATAGCATAATTTATTTTAAGTGATCATGTTTTCACAAGTTTTCACTAAAAAGT